ATTACTAGGTCTAAGACACAGGCATTCAGCAGGCATTCACATGCAGGCTGAGCAGAAGTTACTTAGATAAACATACACATGAAATAAAGACAATATAAAATAAAACCACGACAATATGAAAAAAAAAACATGCTATATGGAAAAGTATGCAGTTAACTAAGACACTGGGCTTAATTTTGGTTTCTAACTTTTTGTAGAACTTAAAACAAATTATAAAGTCAGAATTAGGGACATTCAGTAATAACAGCTACATATATCCAGCAAGTTCCTGGGATTTTTTTTTTTTTTTTTAGAACTTACGTGAATTCACACACCAAACGAAAAATGATGTGACAGAGAATTACAGAACAAATTAGGCTGAAAGGAATGTGGCTGGGGAGCTCATGTAGTCTAAGCTCCTGGTCAAAGCATCTCCAGTTAGAGCAGGCCTTCATCCAGCTGCGTTTTGAATATACCAGGGATAAAGATTCTGCAACTTCCTTGGGCAACCTGTTCCCATATCTGACCACTCTTACGGTAAAGGGGGGAAAAAAGAAAAAAAGAAGAAAAAATTTTTTATAGGTGACTGAACTTTCCCATGCTCCAACTTGCACCTGTTGCCTCTTGTCCTATTTGTTGCAACTCCAAAAAGAATCTGGCTTCATCTTATCACATAATTGCAGTCCTTGCCATCAAATTTTAATACTGTGTCTACCATTTAAATACAGCCATCTTTATTTTACCTTGAAACGAAATTCATGGGAGAAAGCAGGGCTACAGAATTATCTCTTCTCCACGTTCACAGTATACAGGAGTACTTGTCAGAGGAAAATTAGCAACAGATTTAATTTGTAGCACAGAAGCTTGAGATGGGATATTAAGAAAAAGAGTTTCTAATTATAAGGTTTATGAAATCAGTAGAACAGTTGTCTGGTGAAGTTGCAGAGATGTTAGAGATCTCCATCCCTGGAGGTCTTTGAGAACGAGTTAGACAAACTTCTGTCAGGTATGACATAGATACAGAGATCTCACCTTGGGGTAGAGAAGTGGACTAGATAATCTTTGCAGTATTTTCTGCCCCTGTGGTTTTTTCTATGAAGGTTGAGACTGCCTCTGGTTAATCCAGGCAACTAGCACCTAGGCTTGAGCCTATGGGCCAAATTATAAAATATTTAATGCTGTTGAAATACCGAAGCCTAAATTACACATTTGGTATATTGTATTTGAACCTACATTTTCAAGCTTTTGCATTTGCCTGACAGAGCTCACATAGTAGTTCCTGTGCTGAGATGCTTAAGAATTCCTTCCTAATCAGTTATGGGATAATGTGCTATTTCCTCCATGCATTGCTACAGGAAAGATATCTGGGGATGATCAGCCATGAATTTGCCTACACTGTCACGACAAAGCCTTCAGTTGGATGAGAACCTCAGACAGGGCAAGCCTGGGACCTAACGCATTCACAACTACTGAAATTAACCCAAGCACCTATCACTGCTGCTACTACTACAGTATGGTAATACAGGTAGGAGCCAGGTTAGACTTGTGCCACAAGCATGTGCAACAAGAGTGTTAGGTCATTTCTTCAAAACTGTACTAACACAACACTCTCCAGCACATGGCTTGCTACAGTAGTGGTGTTAGCTTATTTGGTAGCTGTTCCACACAAACAAACTAAAACCTATGTCCCAGTTGTAAACCTGTATTTTCAGGGCATTACCAAAAGCAAAAGTATGTACAACATACTCTTGTAGGAAGCCCTGTTTTTAAAAGGAATATTGCAACAAAGTCTCTGTATCGCTAAAAGTGAGGTTAATGAAATACTAACATGTACTGGACACTATGTAATGCAGATACCTAGAACACTAAACATGAAGTTCAAGAACTGTTTACATGCACGCAACCATGTGTTCAACAATCACATCATTCAAGTGGAGCATTTACTCAGAAAAAGCACTGTTTACAGCTCTAATTCAAAGAAACTGAAGCAGAAAAAAAAAATCTGTAAATAAATAGTGGTGGGTGATGGTGTACTTTCTGGCAATGAATTAATAGATGTGACATATTTCAGAAATCTTTTCTCGAAAGTGATCAAAAGACGATTGATAATGTCACCTTGGCACAGAAAGATTTGGCTTCATATTTTCGTAAGGTGAGTATTAAAATACCTTTATCTCCCTCTATGAGCTAAATATGTCGTCACATGGGAAAAAAATAGCAGGGGTTAAAGTACAGAACTGGTAACTGAAGTGCTCAGAAGAGCCAAAGAGCTACTGTAGCTCAGCACGTTTCGCAGCTCCACTCACCCAGTCAGCTATAATTTAGATGTCTGACCTTTGCGGCTAAATCAGAGACTTACAGTTCCCCTGCTATTTTGCCCCTGGCCTCCTGCCAAAACGGCCAATGAATATACAAAATCACAGCATGTAAGTCTACATGTAAGTCTATCAGAAACATGATAGCTCATTAACTTGGTGACAGACAGACACAATTTGGTTTCAACTTTCAGTCACCATCCACCTGAAATGACTAGGTAGAAGCACAATTCAGAGACATGGACATGTATGGAAACCTGCCCAAACCCAATCCATGTAGGTATATAGATTTAGGCATTCCTTACAAAGTACACTTTCCATAACAACAAAACATTGGGGTTTTTTAGCCCATAGTAACCCTAATGACTCAATAAATAAAACCGGAACATCTTTCAATACTATACATTACCCCTTTCAAATGAGACAGTCTCAGTTCTCTCCAACTGTTCAGCTGCAATTCTAGTGATCTTTGCAGAAGACAGCTTATTTTGGCCAATGTCAGACACTAGACAGTGTGGTGTTATCAAAATGCAAGTGTATCTTGGAGGGAGCAGTGGTAGGAAAAAAAATATGTTCCTCACAAAAAAAAAGGGTGGTGGGGGCAGAGGTAGAAAATAAATACTTTCTCCACCTCCTCTGAATCAGTTTTTACTATCTAGTTGTAATTTCAGTGCACACAAGTTATAAAATTATAGTGCTAAAAGTACTCATCACTATGCATATGAAACTGTTCAAGTGTATCAGAAGATTTTTGATCAGCTTAAGAAGGAGGGAAGTTAGACAGGAAGCTCTCTGTACAGTTAAACAGACAGCACATTATAGTAATATGAAAACCGCACCTTTCTTATAAAGCCTATACAAACACCAGATATTATTTCAAAGATAATGTAACGTGCATTGTAACACTTTAGACTCCTAAATGTAGGTCAAAGACTATATAATTAAATAAAATGTTACAGCCAGACAAAGAAAACAGATCAGGCATTTAGAACAAAACTTTACAGCATTAATACTGGCACCAACTTTTAGTATAGTATTTCAAAAACACAAGTTCTGAGTAGAATACTACAATGAATTTAGATTCAGCAGGAAAGATTCTGAATTTGGGCTTTTTAAAATTAAAAAAATAAATGAGATGTAGTTTTTGGCAAGAAAGAAACACTCTTAGGTAACTTAAACCTGCTATGTTCCTTTTGATCCACCTATGCATCCCGCTTGTTTCTTGACACCTAGCCCTCTTCATACCTCCTTTTAAGCAATACCTGTTGTTGAAGTCCTGTGCATGTATGCTAAATGATTCCTCTTCCTCAGTCAAAATCTTCTTCAAAAGGAAAATTTGTTTTAGAATTTTTCACTGATCTAACATAGAAAGTAAGATTTTTTTGAAATGAAGAAAACTTGCTTCTATTATAGTAGAATTTCCTTTGGTTTATCAGAATCCTTTCTGCCTGCATTTCAAGGCATAAAATCAAGAGTCCATGTTTTCTGATAACAGGAAGGCAGTCAGTGGCATCTTCCAGGAGCTTGGAACTGACACAGTTGGCTTGAATCCACAGAGCTTCTGAACAAACGTCACCACATTGTTTCCCACCTTGATGTAGTTAAACTACGTTCAACATGGAATTGTTCTTGAGCTAATAACCCTGTAGGACTGAACTGGGTCTGTGTAGAGGCAACTGCAATGTCTCTTCACCTTTGGCAAAGCCCAAACAAACAGTCCCTAGATACTGAAGGTGCAACTACACAGAGACTGTAGGCCATACAGGAACAAGACCGCTTCCTTCTCCATATGCTGTTAGTGCTCAATAAATGCAACGCAGGATAGAAATTTCAGATTCAGTGTGTTAAGAAGCCTACTGCATCCCCACATAAATTTGGCACACTAGTCAAGGTCCTTTTGGGGAAGTAGCCTCAATATTATCTGCATTACACTAAAACAACTAGCAAAAAGAGTAAACCCAAGCAAAAGTGCTTAGTGAATGAATCACTAAAATGGCTCTGTACAAGGCATGATATAACAGCAGCAAAGATGGCTGTTATCCCCAGGCCCTGTCCTGCACATAATTATTTATGATATTGGACTAAGTCTAAACACAACTTTATAGGCAAACACCACTTTGTGTCAAATGACATAGAGGAAAGCCCTGATAACAGAGAAGCACGTCTTTTTTTTGCAGTAAAATGCTTACAGGACAAGACAAGCATGATTAACACGGGTAACACTGGTAGAGAACAGCCAACATGCACACAATTTTCAGCAAAAGATCTTACAGCGCTTTGGTTGGAAACCAGTGGACCTTCAGGCAGGCAAACACTTGCTGGTTAGATATTAATAAATTATATAGAAATGGTGCTTTAGAGGAATGCCTGAAACCATTGTTTGATAAAAATACCAGCTTCCTTCTTCGCTGGCTAACTGCATGTAGAATTAGCACTAGACTCCCGCTTCTTTAACGTAAGTAAAGATGTGAATTTTAAGAATGTGAAGCACAGACAGTTTTTCTGTCTTCTGCATGTGTATTAGTACCCTGGCGTAATGGACCCTAACCCAGAATATAGCAACCAGGTGCTACATCACAGTACAGAAATACATCCAACATCAGAACGCTAGCAAGTAGTCACAAGCAGAGGTGGCAGGCTTTAGCTCAATTAAATATTAGTAAATAAAAATCATACCTTCAAAAGTGCAGGCAGACTTGTGCTTACCTTTTGGTTGCTCTTTAAATTTATGGCTTCACTCCCTTTGTTTTCAGAACTGAAAAACAAAGATATTTTATAACACTGAGGACTTGCATTATTCAAGTCTACCTGACAGTCAACACAGTATCATTCAATTTAAAAACAAGAGCACATTAACTTAAAAGGACAGAAGAACATATTTTTCCAAAGCATAGCCCATATTCTGCACATATTGCAACTGAAAAAGCCATGCCCCAAAAAGCTGAAGATGGAAGCAAAATGCCTGTTTCACCTCACACAGAGGTTTTCAAACTCCAGCATTCAGAAATGGCACACAGCATTTCAGCTGTTCCAGCTGAAAAAACCCAAAACTTTCTGTGCATATTATTTTCTGCTGTAAAAATGATACTATAGTCGATCAATCATCTACTACAGCAACATTCATTGCCATAGCACTATCTGGCACACTTGGCAGCTAGAATGTACCCCCAGTCCTTATACTGAGGACTGCGATCGAGTGGAACGTACTCAGGGCAGATGGAATCATCACAAATTGCAGCTACCACATTTAACAGATGTTTACCGAACATACCTAATGGTGGTTTGCAGGCAAATTCAGAAGAAATATTAGAAAGGGAACAAGAGGCATGTTGTCATTACTAAGGCAACACCCACTGTTCCATTTTAAAAGTCAGAAGTCCAAAGACACATATGTCCTTATTGCCAATTTACCTTGGTCAAAATTTTATTCAGAGCCCATCTTTGGAATGAAGGGAACCATTCCCCTGCTTTCTGATTCTTAAAACAATCCTTAAGCAGAATCCAGAGCATATTTTAATCAAAACCTTTATGCTACATGCAACTTTGTATTGGGTTTGTGTGGCAGGGTTTTGGTAGCAGGAGGATTACAGGGGTGGCTTCTGTGAGAAGCTGCTGGAAGCTTCCCCCATGTCCGACAGAGCCAACACCAGCCGGCTCCAAGACGGACCCACTGCTGGCCAAGGCCGAGCCTGTCAGCGACGGTGGAGATAATGCCTGTGGGATAACACTTCAGAAGGGAAAAAAAAGTTGCTGCAGCACAGAAACTGCAGACGGAGAGAGGAGTGAGACCATGTGAGAGAAACAACCCTGCAGACCCCCAGGTCAGGGAAGAAGGAGGGGGAGGAGGTGTTCCAGGTGCTAGAGCAGAGATTCCCCTGCAGCCTGTGGTGAAGACCATGGTGAGGCAGGCTGTCCCCCTGCAGCCCATGGAGGTCCACGGTGGAGCAGATCTCCACCTGCAGCCCGGGGAGAGAGGACCCCACGCCAGAGCAGGTGGGTGCCCGAAGGAGGCTGTGACCCCGTGGGAACCCTGTGCTGGAGCAGGCTCCTGGCAGGACCTGCGGATCTGTGGAGAGAGGAGCCCACGGAGCAGGTTTTCTGGCAGGACTTGTGACCGCGCGGGGGACCCACGCTGGAGCAGTGTGCTCCTGAAGGACTGCACACCGTGGAAGGGACCCCACACTGGAGCAGGGGAATAGTGTGATGAGTCCTCCCCCTGACGGGGATGAAGTGGCAGAGATAATGTGTGATGAACTGATCGTAACCCCCATTCCCCATCCCCCTGCGCCGCCAGCGGGGTAGGTAGAGAATTTGGGAGTGAAGCTGTGCCCAGGAAGAAGGGAGGGGTGGGGGGAAGGTGTTTTAAGGTTTGATTTTATTTCTCATTACCCTACTCTGGTGGATTGGCAATAAATTAATTTTCACTAAGTCGAGTCTGTTTTGCCCGTGATGGTAATTGGTTGAGTGATCTCTCCCTGTCCTTATCTCATGAGCCCTTTTTTTTATTTTCTCTCCCCTGTCTAGCTGAGACAGGGAGTGATAGAGCAGCTTTGGTGGGCACCTGGCATCCAGCCAGGGTCAACCCACCACAAACTTAAAAGCAAAAATGTATCAAGAAAAACATTAAAGGATGTTAATGACAGACATCACTTCCTGCATTGCATATCATAAGCTGAAGAAAAATAACTGTACCAATATATCATGCAAGAAATGCTCAGTATTGCAATGAAGTCATAATCACTTCAAAAAACCCTCCATCAATTTTAGAAATTTAGCTTCGCTATTGACAAATGCACAAGCCTTTATTTCTGAATTTGTATGAAGATATGAAGTGAAAGCTGTTCAAATAAAAATAAAAAATAATTATTTGCATTCTGGTGAAATTGTTCCAGGATTTGGAGAAAGGATTTCCATGTACCAGTACTCCTACCGCTACTGACTGTTAACCACAGGTAAGCACGTCTCAGTAAGATTTCTGAAAAGAAAGGTTTTCTTCCTGTTGTGGATTAGGCATCTAAGTTAAATATACGTTGATATATACACAAAATACAAAAGCCAGTCTGACTAAATGCTAGTTTCCCTCTCAGCTGCTCAGAGACAACATTCCCTCAACAAAAATGAGAACAGAACTCTCCTGCAATTAAGTTTTTCGAGATCTTTCAGATCTTTTCAGATACATCAAAAGAAAAGCTCCTTCCTCTCTCTTATGGATCCTCTTCAAGCTGAAAACCATGTACTTTCAGATCACCTCAGGTAATCTTTCATAATGCATTCATAAACACAAAGATGCTTTTTCAGGGAGAGCATCAGACAAAGTCTTGGCTGTTCTTTGCCTCCCTGTAAGACAGAGCAGATAAATTAATATTCTATCCTATTAATTTCTTCTGTTGTTAATGTGTTTCATGAAGGAGACGTCACAATCATTTCTGGGCAATCTGGCACACTAATAAAAGTGCTTCTCACTACATAACCTATTTTCTCCCTCCCAGTTTTTTTTTTAAAAAAACCACTCTTCTCAGATCTGCATGTTTTTTCCTAATGCTGATACACTTGACAGGAACAGGAATTCCCTGTACTTAAAAGTGGAATAATGAGGTTGATCTCCACCAGACGTTCCTCCTAGCTTCAGGATATCACTCTTTATGGAACTGGTCTGCAGACCACAAATGAGATCCTTGCTTTCATTAAGTATCGCCAGCACAGATCACCAGTGTCCCTATTCTTTTATCACTTTGTTTTGCTGCTCATATTCTTCCCTTCACATCATGTTTTTTCCAAAAACTTCTTTCATTTTCCTATTTCTTGTTTGTATTTGAAATATATGCCGGTATTACTTTCTTCTAGCCACCCAGGCTTGGACAGATCACTATGAAATTCCATAGCGTACATACCAAACCCGAAAGAATGCAATTCAGCAGATAAGCATCTTAAAATCAACAAGTTAAAAAAAAAAAGTATCAAAACTTTCCTTTCCAGCATAAAATAAATATAAACCTGGAAGCAATTCCCCACACCCTTTCATGGTTTATATTCTAGCATTTCTACATTCCTTAACCTTTTGCTTTGGGGTGTAGTTCCTCAACATGCTGACTTTGTCAGCAGAAGCAGCTCTAGAAATTTCCACGCCTTCCTCCTCAACCTCAGCTGTCTCTTCCCACCCTTAACTCAGCAGAGCAGGGCTCTCAGTAGGGCCATGGTCTTGGATAAAATCAAGGGGGGAGCAGAAGTTTCCGTCAGGAAAAATTCAGTCTGCAATCCAGTTTACAGTCCAGTGATTTGTACCTGCACAAATGAAGGGGCAATGAATGCCACTCAACAGACAGGAACAAGGAAGCACGCACCACTGCAGCTCGCTTCACCACTGAAGCTATTTTTTGTGAACCGCTTCTATCCTTGGCCAGGGCCTGGTTTTAAATGGATCTGAAACCAAATGACTCACACTGAATGAATGAAGTTTACAACAGAAAAGCTCGCTTTGCTGGAAACAGGCCTCTTGGACTGTTTAGGATAAAATTGGGGTTTTTTTACCTTCTACAGCCTAAACACCTCAGACACCGTAGCTGGTGCCATGCTTTGCACTTGGGTCTGGAGAGCAGGCTGGTTACTGCTCATTGGGCTCAAACGATGCAGCTTATCACTTCCCACTACCAACCCCCTACAGTTTTTAGGGCTTTCCCCCCATCTCATAATTCCATCAATCATAGAACAATCACTAATCACAAACTTTGGAACACGGCACAGTATTTTCCCCACAAATTCTCTGAAGAGGAAGATAAAATAGTAAAGTTCATAGGCTCACACACAACCCTACACTCCCCGTTAAAAAAAAACATGGTGAAGCTAATGTAATTATGCCACACATATTCTTATGTTGCAACGTAGAGCCCATGTTGTCCATACAAGTCTATATTCAGAGATGCAGTGAACACAATTATTAAGCTATGGCATTCACAATTAAAACTAATTCTTTGTAAATACATAAGACATTTAGTATTTATGTTAAAATTAGCCATTCTAAGTTTTTTTTATATGCCCATGCTATCCTATCATTAGTGGCTAGATGTTATACTTCCAAGAACTGTATTCTAAGGGGGTTTATGTACTTTTTTTCTACAGGACAATCTCTGCAACTAAATATTGTTATAAATGTTGACTTGGTAGCTATGTGATATCACACCACTGAACTCTTACGCCTTTGCTAAGAACTGAAAACAACAGACTGGTAGTATATACAGGCTCGCCATGAACTAGGGATTCCCCCTATTTGGGCTACATCTGTATTATTAAAGTCTGGCTCCAAGGAGTTTCATCCTTGCTTTAAGCTTTTCCAGAGTGCTGCATGTTTTGAGTGCTTTGCCATGGCAGGTACTGAGCATGCTATCTCCAGTTCAGCACATCCAAAGTTAAGCTTGTGCTTAACCAGACACATGGCTTTGCTAGATCAGCCAGACAGCTCTCAAGAGAGCATTTCAGCACTTGCTAAATTGGGAAGATGAATCTCGTAAGTCTTCATCTCTGTGCTGCACAAACTACCGTTGTTACATTATACACCCAGCAATAGGACTCTACTAACCCAAGTTTTGAATCTACTTTGTACTTGCTTTTAAGAAAAAGAAAGAGCAAAGCATGATCCTAGGAAGACAGAAAACGCCTCTGCCCCACCAACTTGCTTCTGTGGACTTCTTAACTATACAGGCAGTCATTTACAAATTGTCACAACCACTTGTTTACATATTTAGGCAGATATTACTT